GAATTTGCTTTCCAAGTGGAGAAAGATATTTGAGGAAGACGATAGGGATATCATCAGGGCCTGGAGAGGAATTTCGAGTGGTAGCTAATGCTTCATCTAGTTCTAGGAGTGAGAGCGGAGCGTTAATAGGATGAGTTTCCAGATCGTCTAGTAAGAGTGGCTGCGATTCAATTTGTTTTTTCAGTTGGCAAAATCTCGGGTCGTAATTTGAATCTTGAGAAGACATTTCAAATTTTTCGGCGAATAGTTCGACCAGTTCTTGTTCATCTCTGGTGAGCGTATTGTGGTGTAATAACGCTTGCGGTGTTTGGTACGAGGCGATTCCTTTAAGTCTATTGATCTTATTCCACAAAGTCTTTGGCGGCGTCCTAGGAGTTAGCGTAGATACGAAGGTATTCCAGGATGATTTTTTGCTCTGCTTCATACAATATCTCGCCTTAGCTCTATATTTCTTAAACTCGACTAAATTTTCAACTGTTGGGCGGCTTTTCCATTGATTGTATGCTCTCTTACTTTTTTTTATCGCCTCTTTACATTCAGGGTTCCACCAAGCTACCTGTTTATGGGGCCCACTGGATGTAATCTTCCCTATATATTTAGCGGCCGCATCAAGCAAAATCGAATTGAACTGGTGGATAGTAGTGTTAATATCACTACTTGGCTGAAACGAATCCAGTGCATTAGTTGTGTCATCCATGTACTTACTCCAATCTGCTTGTGGTAGATTCCACATCGATCTGGCAGAAGAGGTGTGTGACCTTTGCTGCTCTAAGTCGTTATCTATACGAATAGGGAAATGATCACTGTCATGCAGGTCGGGAAAAGGTGCCCATGTGAAAAAGGCAAGTAACTGAGGGTCACATAAACTTAAGTCGATGGCTGACATACTGCCAGATGCCAAGTTCACTCTTGTAGGCTGTCCGTTATTAAGGAGACATAAGTTACATAAGTCAATGAATTTTTCAACTTCAGTTCCACTTCGAGTAGTACTGCTGGACCCCCACAAGGTATTGTGGGCATTAAAATCCCCAACTATGAGACACGGTTGAGGGAGTTGTTGATAGAGATCGCAGAGTTCTTGACTAGTAAGTAACTTCGAAGGAGGAATGTAGACATTGCATATTGTAAATTTTTGTTTCATGTGTACCACCACCGCCACTGCTTCTATTTCTGTAGTCAGCTGGATTTCGTAGGACGGGAAGCTGGTTTCAACGTATGTGGCGACTCCTCCGCTAGCTATAATGGACGTTGTTCTGTTTTTATGATAAGTGGCATAATTGTTCATGTCGTAGCGCTTATTATCTTTTAGATTAGTTTCCTGGAGGCAAATAATAGAAGGTCGAGTTTGAGTAGTTAAAATTTGCAGATACGGTAGTCGGGCATATAGCCCATTGAGGTTCCATTGCAGGATGAATTTTAAAATAAACTTTGTTGGGACGACGAATCAGAATCGTCGTCCGTTTTAAAAGACTCTGCAGAAAGGCCCAGTTGATTTTTAAGCCTTTTCTGGATCCGAGTAAAACGATTTTTCATACTTCGATTATCAAGGGTGGGGTATAGGTCATATAGCATATTAAGAAGGCCCCTAATGTCATTCGTATAATCCTTTGAAACTGATAGTGGGTCAGAATTTCCAGAGACATTGGTCATAAAGTCGCAGAATTGAATGAAATTGAGCACATAGTGGTTATTATCATTGTCGAACAGGGATTTTACACATTCCAGTCTTTCGGAAACAGTACTAGGAAGTATACTATCCGTTGAGTCATAGCGTTGTAAGGAGTCTGATCTTTTTTCTTGGGACGCTTTCTTTCTTTTTGCTCGCTCTTCAGGTCTTTTAAATTTTGTTGCTTGTAATTCGTCTGTATGCATCTGCGCTGTTATGGACGTTGAGGGGTCAGAAGTTTCAGAGTCAGCTGGTCGTTTTTTGGACTGTACCTTAGGGTCTAAAATTCCCTCCAAGGAAGAATTCTGGCTTGGTTGGTCTTCTTCTGAAATAGGGTTTGGTATGTTCTTGCACTGACTTGCTATATGACCAGATTGTTTACATAGAAAACAAGTAAGGTCATCAAAATTCAAAAAAATTCTATAATCGGTTTCATCATATTTTACGACTACCGAGGATGTTAATTCTAGGGCTGGATCGGGTAGGATATACACTTGACGTCGGAAGCTTAAAACATGTCGAAATTCTGCGTCGGGAACACCCGTCCTAAGGAAATTTATTGGGGACACGATTTTAAAACCCATGGTTTGAATAACATTTTCAATTACTTCGTGTGGAATTGATGGGCACACGTTGGAGATTATGATTCTTTTGGCGGGAGTAATTAACCGACGGATATCTAGATTCACGTTATTAACAGTGATAGTTGCGTGTTCTGAAACGATTTTGTCTACTAACTCCACAGTTGCCAGATAGACACAAATTCTCCCGTTAGATATTCGTGACGCAAAAATAATATTTTTGGGGTCCACAATGGGACCTAATGCTAGCAAGTAATCTCTTAGTTTTAAGTCTGCAACGACGTTCATAATGATGGCTTGTTCTTTCTTGGGGAAACTGTTTTGAACATTAGTGGAAGTTTGACTTTGTGATTGCGACATTGTAACCCCTGTAGTCAGAAGTTACAAATACAAATTTGCGTAAAAAGTAGTCGTCAAGGAGATAACGTAACGATAGATTGCATTTTGTGCTGGTTAAAGAAGCGCTGATAACGGCGCCTCCTTGTCTTCTTGTGCGATAAGCACGAGATAACAAAAAGTTATCACAATTGATGTAGTGTTCACTTTCACTAGCACAAGAAAATGATTAACACTTCAAACACTAGCAATCGTCAAAAGTTGAAGGAAATTAACGGAGACTCGGGAACACGTCAGCGCGCTTCAATGTCTCGTCGGAAAACTCTCTTCAACTTTTGAATTTTACAATTTGTCGATTTTTCTATTTCTCGATTTTTAATTATTCAGTTTTTCGATTTTACAGTTTTTTTTTTTTTTTCAAATTTTTAGTTGTTTTTTCAGTTATCCAAGTTTTAAGTTTCTCAAGTTTTAAGATTACGATTTTTAAATTTCTCGGTGTTTCAAGTTTCGTTTTTTCTATTTTTGATTTTCAATTTTGCAATTGTTCGATTTTTCGGTTTTTTAAATTTCAGTTTTTTCATTTTTAAGGTTAGAGTTTTTCCTTGTCCAATTGTTGACGTCTTAATTAATCGATTTTGAGTTTCTTTATTTTTGCAGTTCTTCGATTTCCAAATTTTTAAATTGTTCGGTTTTTCAATGTTTCTTTTTCGATTTTTCAGTTTTTAATTTTTTGATTTTTCAATTTTTCAGTTTTACAATTTTCCGAGTTTTTGATTTTTTAAAATTTCACTTTTAATAAGTTCGTCCTTTTGTTGAAAAATTCAAAAACGAAAATTGAGAAAATGAAAAATTAAAAATAAAGTACTTCCACGTATGTAATTCCAAGGTGTTTGATTTTTCAGTAAAATTTTGTGTTTCGATTTTTTAATTTGCAGGTATTTTAATTTTGCGATTTTCCTAGTGGCTTTTTAATTTTTCGATGTTCCATCTTTTTACAATTGTTCATTTTTTCAATTTTTAGCTTATCACTTTTTCAGGTTCCAATGTTATAATTTTTAGATTTGACAGTTTCTCGTTTTTTCGATTTTTCCATTTTAAGATATTTTTATTTTTTGATTTTTCAATTTTTTCTTATTTACTGATTGTTGATTTTTTCGTTATCCGATTTTTTACTTTCGCTATTTTTTCAACATTTCGGTATTTCAATTTTTTTTTATTGTTCAATCTTTCATTTTTGTCAGTTTTCGATTTTTTAATTTTACAGTTTTTCGATGTTTATTTTGACATTGTTCAACTTTTGAATTTTACAATTTGTCGATTTTTCTATTTCTCGATTTTTAATTAATCAGATTTTCGATTTTACAGTTTCTTTTTTTTCAAATTTTCAGTTGTATTTTCAATTATCGAAGTTTTCAGTTTCTCAAGTTTTAAGATTACGATTTTTAAATTTCTCAGTGTTTCAAGTTTCGTTTTTTCTATTTTTGATTTTCAATTTTGCAATTGTTCGATTTTTCGGTTTTTTAAATTTCAGTTTTTTCATTTTTAAGGTTAGAGTTTTTCCTTTTCCAGTTGTTGACGTCTTAATTAATCGATTTTGAGTTTCTTTATTTTTAGAGTTCTTCGATTTCCAAATTTTTAAATTGTTCGGTTTTTAAATGTTTCTTTTTCGATTTTTCAGTTTTTAAGTTTTTGATTTTTCAATTTTTCAGTTTTACAATTTTCCGACTTTTTGTTTTTTTAAAATTTCACTTTTAATAAGTTTGTCCTTTCGTGGAAAAATTAAAAAACGGAAAATTGAGAAAATGAAAAATTAAAAGTAAAGTACTTCCAAGTATATAATTCCAAGTTGTTTCGTTTCTTCGATTTTTTGTTTTCTCAATTCGAGATTTTTAAATTTTTGTTTTTTTTTAATTGGTAATTTTTCGATTTTTCCGTGTTTCGTTTTTACATTTTCCGATTTTTTCAAATTTTCAATTTTTCGGTTTTCCAGTGTTTCGTCTTTTCGATGTTACAATTTTTCAATTTTTCCATGTTTCTTTTTTACAACTTCTTAATTTTTTAGTTATTCGGTTTTCATTTTAAAATTTTTGGATTTTGAAATTAAATTTTTTCACTTTCTCGATTTTTAATTAATCAGGGTTTTCAGGTTACAGTATTACAATTTTTCACTGAAATTACTATTTTATGACTTTACCGGTATTAATTTTAAAACAATTTGTGATATTTATGGTAGTCCAGACATCCTAATCAGATCGGTTCAATGCAACCAACGCCCTTTCCACCACGTACTTTCTTTATTGCACCCTCTACACGCACAACAAACACCAACTGCATGCACACATGCCACGACACAAAGAACACAAATAGAGATAATAAATATGGTGAAAATAAAATAAAGAACACAGAAATTCGTTTACCATGTCCGGGTACTGTCAGAAACCTTTCGCTACTTGTGTGTTCGCTGAACGTGTGCTCTTCAACTGAAAGCACAAAGGAACAAATTTGTAGCTGCTTGTCGGATTCGCGCACGGTATGGAAAAAAATGTTAAGAGTTTTAAGACTGGCTAGTGATATAGGCTATATAAAGTGCTAAGAGAGGATGTTGAGAGTGCAGATAATATGTCTGAAAAGAGCACACACATCGAGGACATCCTGTATCTAACCTTTGGCAGGATGATGCAAGGTAAACCACGTTGTGAAGCCCTGAACGTGTGTCGTATATTCGGCTGCGGAGACCACAAATACAGTTGGGACAGTTAGTTGGCGGTTGGGGACTGGCAATTCAAGTTCAATTTCTGAATTTTTAATTATCGTAATAAACGTTAATAAACTTGAGTTGCCAGATTTATTGACGATTTTTACAAAAAAAGTTGCTTAGCAAAGTTCTGAGATGACGTATTCACGTTTTCGGTAGGGATGACTAGATAAATTGTAGTCAGCGTACCATTTACACGATATTCTTAGAGTGTATTTACGATTTCACACGATCATTTCAAGACTATCTGAAATTGTCTGTCTAATAAAATGGCCAACAGGCAACGGACAGACAGACGGAAATGAAAACAAATCATTTTCTATATTCCAGAAGCTATGTAAAATAAAACAGACAATCACATATGTTGTAGATAATAATCTGTGAATAACAGCATTATTATAGAATTAAGAGCTTAAAAACCGCCAAAGTTACCATTTAGAGTAGCCCACATTTTCTATGGTTATATGGCAGAAATACACAAATGTGCCTGCTTGATATTTTTTTCTTTTTTGTAAATTTTTTACTTTACAATTTTTCAGTTTCCCAATTTTTAATTATTAGATTTTTAAATTTTTCGAATTGAAAATTTTTCAATTTATATTTCTTAATTTTTCAATTTTCGATTTTCCGGTTTTCGGGTTTAATTTTAAATTAGTGGATTATAGTCAATTTTTGGTTTTTTCGTTTTGCAATTTTTTGATTTTTCGATTTTTTGTTTCGTCAGTTTTTTGATTTTACGATTTTTCAACACTTTTCTTCAGTTTTCGATTGATAAGTTTTAGACTTGCTAAATTTTCGAATTATGTTTAAATTTTTTCAATTTTTAAATTTTTTAATTTCATTTTTCAGTTATGCAATATTTCGTTTAATTTTTGGATTTTATATTTCTTCGATTTTTGAGTTTCTTCTTTTTTAATTTTTCGATTTTTTAATTTTTCGTTTCTTCAATTTTTGTTATTATAATTTTTCGTTTTTACATTGTTTGATTTCTTCGATTTTTTGATTTGTAACTTTTCCAGTTTTCTGTTTTAAATATTTCAATTTTTTGTGTTTCAATTTTTGATTTTTTCAATTATTCAATATTTTACTTCTTCAAATATTCAATATTATAATTTGTCAACTTCACAAATTTTCAAATATTCGATTTTACAATGTTTCAATTTTTCAATCTTTCAAAGTTACGATTTTGTGTTTTTAGATTTTTCAATTTTTCGTTTCTTTAATTTTTCGATTTGCGATTTTTTGAGTTTTCAGTTTTAAATTTTTCAGTTTTTTGTGTTTCAATTGTTGAATTTTTCGTTGCTTCAAATGTTCGATCTTTGAATTTCCGATTTTTCAATTTTTCGCTTTTTCCACTTTCAATTTTACCATTTTTACACTTTTTCGCTTCTTCATTTTTCAATTTTTTGACTTTTCAGTGTTTCGGTTTTACAATTCTTCGTTTCTTCAATGTTTTCGTTCTTCAAATTTTTGTTTCTTCATTTTTTCGAGTTTGCATTTATCCGATTTTTTAATTTTTGGTTTCTTCAATATTTTTGATTTTACATTTTTTGATATGCAATTTTTGGAGTTTTCAATTTTCAGTTTTTCAGTGAATGATTTTTCATGTTTTAACTTTTATCAATTAATCCAGTTTTCATTCCTTCAATTTTTCAATCACCAGTTTTTCGTCATTATAATTTTTCAACTTTACAATGTTTCGTTTCTTCAGTATGTCGATTTTACAATTTTTCAAAATCTCTTTTCTTCGATTTGCGATTGGTAATTTTTCGAGTTTTATTTAAATTTTTCAATTTTTTAGTTTTTTATTTCGTTTTGCGTTTATTTTTTGGATTTTAGACTGTTTCGATTTTTGACTTTGACCATCTTTAATTTTTCGATTTTTCAATTTATCCAGTTTTCAGTTTTAAATTTTTCTAGTTTTTGTTTAAATTTTTTAAATTTTCAATAATACGATTTTTCGTTCCTTCAAATTTTCGATTTTAGAATTTTTAGAAATTTTTCGATTTTTTGCTTTTCCAACTTTTCGATTCTACTGTTTTTCATCCATTCATTCTGCAGTTTTTCCTTTCTTGCCTTTTTTAACATTTCAATTTTTCGGTTTTATAATTATTCGTTTCTTCATTGTTTCTGTTCAAATTTTTGGTTCTTATTTTTTTGGTTCTTCATTTTTTCGAATTACAATTTTTTAATTTTTCGATTGCTCGACTTTTCAATTTTTCAATATTACAATGTGTCAATTTTAAAAATCTTCCAGATTTTCGATTTTCCAATTTTTCGTTTCTTCAATTTTTGTTGTGATAATTTTTCGCTTTTACATTGTTTGATTTCTTCAATTTTTTGATTTGCAAATTTTCTAGTTTTCTTTTTTAAATATTTCAATTTTTTGTGTTTCAATTTTTGATTTTTTCAATTATTCAATATTTCACTTATTCAAATATTCGATACTATAATTTTTCATTTTCACAATTTTTCAAATCTTCGATTTTTCAATGTGTCAAAGTTACGATATTATGTTTTTGGATTTTTCAATTTTTCGTTTCTTCAGTTTTTCGATTTGCGATTTTTCGAGATTTCAGTTTTAAATTTTTCAGTTTTTTGTGTTTCAATTGTTTAAGTTTTCGTTGCTTCGAATTTTCGATGTTTGAATTTCCCGATTTTTCAATTTTTCGCTTTTTCCACTTTCAATTTTACGATTTTTACAGTTTTTCGCTTTTTCATTCTTCAATTTTTTGACTTTTCAGTTTTTCGGCTTCACAATTCTTTGTTTCTTCAATTTTTTCGAATTGAAATTTTTCAATTTTTCAATTTCATAACTTTTCGGAGTTTGCATTTATTCGATTTTTTAATTTTTGGTTTCTTCAATTTTTCGATTGTACAATTTTTCAAAACTTCTTTTCTTTAATTTGCGATTGATATTTTTTCAATTTTTGTTTTTCTTATTTTTCATTTTACATTAGGCGATATTTGGTTTAATCTTTGGATTTTAGATTTTTTCGATTTTTGACTTTCTCCATTTTTAATTTTTTGATTTTACAATTTTTCAAAACTTCTTTTCATCAATTTTCATTTAATTTTTGAATTTTAAATTTTTGACTTTGTACATTTTTAATTTTTCGATTTTTCAATTCGTCAATTTTTTGATATGCAATTTTTCCAGTTTTCTGTTTTAAATATTTCAATTTTTTGTGTTTCAACTGTTTAATTTTTCGTTGCTTCAAATTTTCGATCTTTAAATTTCCCGATTTTTCAATTTTTCGCTTTTTCCACTTTCAATTTTACGATTTTTACAGTTTTTCGTTCTTCATTCTTCAATTTTTTGACTTTTCAATATTTCGGTTTTATAATTCTCCGTTTCTTCAATGTTGCCATTCTTCAAATTTCTGTTTTTTTATTTTCTCGAATTGAAATTTTAAAATTTTTCACTTTTTCGACTTTATGACTTTTTGATCAATTTCTGGACTTTTTCAATTTTTTAATTTTACAATTTTTCGAGTTTCCATTTATCCGATTTCTTAATTTTTGGTTTCTTCAATTTTTTTGATTTTACAATTTTTTGAGTTTTCAATTTTCAGTTTTTCAGTGAATGATTTTTCATGTTTTAAATTTATCAATGAATCCATTTTTCGTTTCTTTAATTTTTCAATCAGCCATTTTTCGTCATTATAATTTTTCAACTTTACAATGTTTGGTTTCTGCAATTTCTCGATTTTACAATTTTTCAAAATTTCTTTTCTTCGATTTGCGATTGGTAATTTTTCGAGTTTTGTTTAAATTTTTCAACTTTTTAGTTTTTTATTTTTCGTTTTGCGTTTATTTTTTGGATTTTAGACTGTTTCGATTTTTGACTTTTCGATTTTTCAATTTTTCCAGTATTCAGTTTTAAATTTTGCTATTTTTTGTTTCAATTTTTTAAATTTTCAATAATACGATTTTTCGTTCCTTCAAATTTTCGATGTTAGAATTTTCAGACTTTTAAATTTTTCGATTTTTCGCCTTCCAAATTTTCGATTCTACTGTTTGTCATCCATTCATTCTGCAGTTTTTTCGTTCTTGCCTTTTTTAACATTTCAAATTTTCTGTTTTATAATTATTTGTTTCTTCATTGTTTCTGTTGTTCAAATTTTTGTTTCTTCAATTTTTTGGTCCCTAATTCTTTTGGTTCTTATTTTTTTGGTTCTTCATTTTTTCGAATTGCAAATCTTAATATTTCGATTGCTCGACTTTTCAATTTTTCAACATTACAATGTTTAATTTTAAAATTTTTCAATCTTCCAGATTTTCGATTTTCCAATTTTTCGTTTCTTCAATTTTTGTTATGATAATTTTTCGCTTTTCTATCGTTTGATTTCTTCAATTTTTTGATTTGCAATTTTTGATTTTTTCAATTAATCAATATTTCACTTATTCAAATATTCGATATTACGTATAATTTTTCAATTTCACAATATTTCAAATCTTCGATTTTATAATGTTTCAATTTTTCAATCTTTCAAAGTTACGATTTTATGTTTTTGGATTTTTCAATTTTTCGTTTCTTCAGTTTCTTTATTTGCGATTTTGCGAGTTTTCAGTTTTACATTTTTCAGTTTTTTGTATTTCAGTTGTATAATTTTTCGTTGCTTCAAATTTTCGATTTTTGAATTTCCCGATTTTTCAATTTTTCGCTTTTTCCACTTTCAATTTTACGATTTTACAGATTTTCACTTCTTCATTCTTCAATTTTTTGACTTTTCAATATTTCGGTTTTATAATTCTTCGTTTCTTCAATGTTTCCATTCTTCAAATTTCTGTTTTTTTTCCGATATTTTAATTTTTGGTTTTTAAAATTTTTTTGAATTTACAATTTTTGATATGCAATTTTTGGAGTTTTCAATTTTCAGTTTTTCAGTGAATGATAATTAATCCATTTCTCGTTTCTTCAATTTTTCAATCAGCAATTTTTCGTCATTATAATTTTTCAACTTTACAATGTTTCGTTTCTTCAATTTGTCGATTTTAGAATTTTTCAAAATTTCTTTTCTTCAATTTGCGATTGGTAATTTATTTTGCACTTATTTTTTGGATTTTAGATTGTTTCGATTTTTGACTTTCACCATCTTTAATTTTTCGATTTTTCAATTTTTCCAGTTTTCAGTTTTTAATGTTTCTATTTTTTGTTTAAATTTTTTAAATTTTCAATAATATAATTTTTCGTTCCTTCAAATTTTCGATATTAGAATTTTCCGACTTTTAAATTTTTCGATTTTTCGCTTTTCCAACTTTTCGATTCTACTGTTTTTCGTCCATTCATTCTACAGTTTTTTCTCTCTTGACTTTTTTAACATTTCAAGTTTTCGGTTTTATAATTATTCGTTTATTCATTGTTTCTGTTGTTCAAATTTTTGTTTCTTCAATTTTTTGGTTCTTCATTTTTTCGAATTGCAATTTTTTAATTTCTCGATTGCTCGACTTTTCAATTTTTCAATGTTAGAATGTTTCAATTTTAAAAATTTTAGATCTTCCAGATTTTCGATTTTCTAATTTTTTGTTTCTTCACTTTTTCGATTTCCAATTTTTTGATTTTACAACTTGTTGATTGGCAACGCTTATATTTTTCGATCAAGTTTTCGTTTCTTCAGTTTTTCGTTATTATAATTTTTTGCTTTTACAATTTTTTATTTCTTCAATTTTTCGGTTTGCTAACTTTTTGATTTGGAATTTTTCGAGTTTTCAGTTTTAAATTTTTCAATTTTTTGTGTCAATTTTTGAATTTTTCAATTATTCGGTTTTCCGTTTTTTCAAATTTTCGATCGTAGAATTTTCCGATTTTTCAATTTTTCCCCTTTTCATTCTTCAATTTTTTGTTTCTTCAATTTCTTGACTTTTCGATTTTGCGGTTTTGCAATTTTTCGTTTCTTCAATGTTTGTTCTTCAAATTTTTGGTCCTTCATTTTTTCGAATTGCAACTTTCCAGATTTTCATTTTTTTATTTTTGGTTTCTTAAATTTTTTATTTTAAAATTCATCTTTAAACTTTTCAGTTAATCGATTTTTCATTTCTCCAATTTTTTAGTCACCAATATTTCGGTATTATAATTTTTCAACTTTACAACGTTTCGTTTCTTCAATTTTCGAATGGTAATTTTTCAATTTTCAAAATGTTTCGAGTTTTATATATAAAATTTTTCAATTTTTGGTTTCCTTAATTTTCATTTTTCAATTATGCAATTTTTGAGTTTCTCCATTTTTAATTTATCATTTTTTCAATTTTTCAATTTTTCGTTTTTTCAATTTTTCAATTTTTCGTTTTTTCAATTTTTTGATTTTATTTTTTGATTTCCCAATTTTTCTATTTCAAATTTTCGATTTTTCAATTTTTGAACTTTACAATTCTTCTAATCTTCACTTTTACAGTGTTTCAATTTTTGGATATTCCAGATTTTCCCAGTTTTTGGTTTCTTCTATATATCTATTTGCAATTTTTAGGGTTTTCTGTTTTAAATTTTTCAATTTTTTGTGTTCCAAATTTTGAATTTTTCAATTATCCAATTTTTCGTTCCTTCAAATTTCTCGATTTTTCAATTTTTTCGATTTTTCACTTTTTCAACTTTCCAGTTTTCCGATTTTACATTTTTTCGTCTCTTAATTCTGCAATTTATCGTTTTTTCAATTTTTCGCTTGATTTGTTCAATGATTCTGTTTTCCGCTTTTTTTTTCTTCTTTCTTGTCAATTTCTCTATTTTTCAATTTTTCGAGTTTCCAGATTTTCGATTTATTAATTTTTTGTTTCTTCAATTTTTTGATTTTATAATTACCTGAGTTTTCATCTTTTCAATTTTTCAATTAATAGATTTTTCGTTTCTTCAATTTTTCACTCAGCAATTTTTGGTTATTTTAATTTTTTTGTTTCACAAGTTTTCATTTTTTCATTTTTTCAATTTTACAACTTTTCGTTCTGCAATTTTTGGAGTTTTCAATTTTAAAATTTTCAATTTTTTTTATTCCAACGTTTTAATTCAGTCGTTCAATTTTTCGTTTCTTCAAATTTTCAAGTTTCGAATTTGTCAATTAGTCAACTTTTCGGTTAGCAATTTTATAATTTTTTCTTTATTCAATTTTTCCGTTTTAAATTTTTATTTTTTTGTGTTTCAGAATTTGAATCTTACAATTTTTGATTTCTCAGTTTTTAGATTTTTCAAATTTTTCGTCTTTTCAACTTTTTGCTTTTTCAGTTTTTTGTTTCCTCAATTTTTTGTTTCTTGATTTGTTCGTTTGGCAATTTTTTAATTTTACAATTTTTCGATTGCCAGTTTCGAAGTGTTTGATTTTTCATCTTTTAAATTGTTTAGTTAACCGATTTTTCTTCAATTTTTTAAACAGCAATTTTCGTTTTACAATTTTTCGAGCTTCCGATTTTTTGTGTTTCAACATTTGAATATTTCAGTCATTCAGTTTTAGGTTTCTTCACATTTTCGATATTATAAATTCTCGATTTTACAATTTTTAGATTTTTTAATTTTTCGTTTCCTCATTCTTTTGATTTTGCAATTTTTGGAGTTTTAGTTTAAAATTTTTCTACTTTTGAATTTTTTAATTAATCAGTTTTTCGATTAGCGATTTTTCGTTATTATAATTTTTAGAGTTTACAATTTTTGCTTTCTGCAATTTTTCAGATATAATTTTTAAATTTTTTTTGTGTTTAATGTTTTGAATTTTTAATTATTCAATTTGTTCATCTTATAATTTTTCTATTTTACAATTTTTGATTTTTCAATTATTCGATTTTTCTATTTTTCAACTTTTCAATATTTCAAAATTTTCGTTTCATCAATTTTGTGCTTTTTCAATTTTTCTATCTTCCAGATTCTCGATTTTGAATTTTTCATTTCTTCCTCCTTTTATTTTTCACATTTTCCAGTTTTAATTTTTAAAACTTTTAATATTTGAGTTTTCACTTTTTGAGTATCTCAATTAATTTTTCATGCCTTAAATTTTTTGGTATTATAATTTTTTAATTTTAGGATTTTGCAATTTTACAATTTTTCGTTTACAATTTTTAGATTTTACAAATTTTCCGTCTCTTCAATTTTTTGTTTTTTTAATTTTTTGTCTTCAATTTTTTGATTTTTTAACTTTTCTTTTCTTCGGTTTTTCAGTTCTATTTTTTTGGTTCCTTCAGTTTTTTGTTTCTTAATTTATCCAATTTGGAATTTCACAATTTTTCTATTTTTCTATTTTGCAGATTTTTAATTTTTAGATTTTACAAATTTTCGTACCTTAAAATTTTTTAGATTTTTTAGTTTCTAGATTTTTAATTTGTCCATCTTTCAATTTTTCGATTTTGTAAAAAACATTGGAAACATGAAAAAAAATGTATTTCTAATTTTACCGAAAAAATAAACATCAGGAATTTTTTTGCAATAAATTTTTCCCATATCAGTAGAGTTTGGTTAATTTTCCCAAGATTGGCAATTTTTTTAAAACAATTAAAAATACCACCCAAGTAGTACAAATTATAAAAAAAATTTGCTTACACTAGTTGACCCGAATTTTTCGGGGTAATTAATTGTTCTCATAAAATAATACTCATTTTTGTTCGTGAGTAATGATGGGCTCTATCCGGATCTGGATTATTCTGCTTTCTATCATCTGGGAATTACCGGCACGCGACAACTTTAAGTTGTAAATATCTCTTGCTATTGTACTGCCAATAAAATTTTATAGGGTAGAATGAAATTTCCAAAACTATACCTTAGAAAATATGGGCTACCATACTTTTATGTTTAAATTTCGTCAAAATTATATAACTTAGTTTCTAAGGTCTCAAAATAGATATAGCTATACAGTGTGTCTGTAAGTTTAGTACTTGTTACGCAACGAACACTAGTAAGCAGACATTAACAGTGTTAAGGTTGCCAAAACCACCACAATCGTTTCATCCCCTGGCGTTCGCCCCTTCTGGCCCCTGTTAGTATGCAATGAATGATGATGTCGCACCTCCGCCACCGTCCCAAGCAAAGCCACACCTCATAATTACCTAACCTGCAACAAACCCCTCCTCTTTCTTTCTCACTTTCTTCACGTTCCCCCCGGCTCCTCCCTGAGTACAAACAAACCTAACACATCCTCCTGAAATTTTAATTGTCACCTTACAACCCTAAACATCAAAAGTCTTTCAGTTCAATACCCTTCAACACCAGCGAACTTACTTTTCGACGTGGAGTGGTTCCTCATCTCCGCGAACGACCGGATCAGCGGCAGCACGTGGTCCTTGCGCTGGTGCTGGTGGCGGTGGCGCTTCAGCAGCGCCTCCTTCACCTGCAACCAAACGAGCGTCACACTCCGTTTACCGAACAGATGGAGCTGTCACCTTGTCGCGCTTGTCGTAGGCCAGCGCGCCGCTGTTGATCATGTTGTCGAGCACCAGGTCGGCGATCTGCTCCATGGAGGAGGCTTCCAGGTCGAGAAGGACGGTGCCGTTGAGGATGAGGCTGCGCAATTCGAAGAGCGAGTGCAGCGATAGGGTGGCCACGTGGGGCTTGGACCAGCGGTTACCCCCTTCTTCCACGTTCTCCTCGAACTTGATCCAGCGGGCGGTTTCTTTCCATTCCATGTCGCCGCCCTCGGTGACGAGCTCCTCCATCTCGGAGAAAAGTGGGTGGGATTCGTGTTTCTCATCGTCGACGTCTTCGCCGAGGATGAACTGGACGCGCTGGGAGGGAGGGGTACCTGGAAATAACAATGTCAACGTTAGAAATTGCCCATTTATGACATCTGCCAAAGTAAGATTTACCGTTGCAAGTACTAGCCCCGCCCACCCGCCCTATAGTTTCTCAAAGGATATGGTGTCTGCCAAAATCAGTCTTATCTGAGCAAGTACTAGCAAGTACTACCCTCTGAGAAAAAAAAAGGGCGGGAGGCGGGGCTAGTACTTGCTACTATGTCTTATCTTAGCAAATGACATATTCTCTGAGAAAATAGGAGGCGCGTGGGCGGGGCTAGTGCTTGGTACGATAAGACTGATTTTGGCAAATGACATCTTCTGAAAACGTAGAGGGCGGGTGGGCGGGCCTGGTATTTAGTAAGATAAGTCTGATTTTGGCAAATGACATATCCTTTGGGAAAAGTGGGGGCGGGTGGGCGGGCCTAGTATTTGTTAAGATAAAACTGAGATTGCCCCTTATTAATCTTGTAGAAACTTGTGAAATTTAAAGTTGTTAAAGTTAAATTCTTAAATCTATCCGAAATGTCCAAAATATGCGTTTTACTTGTGATTTATTATTGCATTCATATTGTTTAGATTTTCTTATACAAGGTGCTATTTTCCCAAAAAATTTTGGTAATACAATACTGTTATCTTTCTAGGTTCATAAGCAAGCAGTAGCCCCGCCCACCCACCCCTTTTTCGTTCCTGTGACTAGTCTTAATATTGTTCAGTCCTAGGTTAGCATTTGTGTTGAGTTCATTTAAAAAAAAAAAAAGCTGTAAGTTTTTACAAGAGATCTTCTCAACGAAATCATTAATAAAATATAAGAATATAAGTGATCCAAAGTCAGATCCTTGGGAAACACCTGAAGTAGGCTTGATAACAGTAGATGTAAAAATGCGATATCGAATATACTGTTCACGATCGAAAATACAGAGTTATTCAGCTAAGATGTCCAATTTGTGTTTTTAAAATAGTTATCGAGTTGCAATTTTTTAATTTTGAAATTTTTCGATATTACAGTTTCTCATTTTTCGATTTTTCACATTCTCGGTTTTTAATTTTTGCCATTTTCAATTTTTCGTTTCCTCAATTTTTCAAGTTCTCGATTTTTATTTTTCATTTTCCCGATTTTTTTAATTTTCATTTTCTCGATTTTCAGTTTTTTCATTTTCTTTATTTCTTGTTGTTTCTTTCGATTTTTCATGTACCCGATTTTGATTTTACAATATTGCGAATGTTTAATTTTTATTTCCTCGATTTATATCACAATTGTTCGTTTTTTCATTTTCTTTATTTTCTGTGTTTTTTTCTGTTTTTACAATTTTTCATTTGATCAATTTTTCAAATTTTCACGCTTTGAATTTTCAGTTCGTCCATTTTAAAATTTTTCACTTTGCAGTTTTTGGATTTCCAGTCTTCCGATTTTCCAATTTCTTTAATTTTCAATATTTATATTTCATAATGCATATTTCTTTTTTTCATTTTTCACTTTTTCGATTCTTAAGATTTTACAAGTTTTCATTTTGCAATTTTTCGTTTTTTATTTCTGATTTTTCAATTTTACAATTTCTCGACTTCCAAAATCTTCAGTTTTTCGTTCCTTCAATTTTTCGGTTTGCATCAGTTTTTCAATTTGGCAATTTTTCAATATTACAGTTTTTCATTTTTCGATTTTTCAGTTTCACAATGTTTAATTTTTCCCTTTTCCAATTTTTTGTTTCCGATTTTTATTTTTGGTTTCCCCGATTTTTTAATTTTCACTTTTTCGATTTTATATCACAATTTTTCGTTTTTTCATTTCCTTTATTTTTTGTTGTTTTTTCGATTTTACAATTTTTCGTTTATTCAATTTTTCAAATTTTAAGGTTTTTTTCAATTTTTCTTCAAATTCTCAAGTTTGATTTTCACTTTTTACATTTTTCAAGTTTTTATTATTCACTTTTTTTTTATTTTTGATTTTTCAGTTTTACAATTTGTCGACTTTCAATTTCTTTAATTTTCAATATTTTGATTTTACAATACATATTTCTTTTTTTTTATTTTTCACTTTTTCGAATTTTAAGTTTTTCAATTTTTAATCTTTCGATTTTTCAAATTTTCGTTTCTTAAAATTTTTATATTTGGTTTTCACTTTGGACATTTTTCAAGTTTTCATTATATACCTTTTCGTTTTTTTATTTTTCAATTTTTCGCGTTGCCATTTTTTAATTTTGCAATTTTTCGATATTACAGTTTCTGGTTTTCGATTTTTCACATTCTCAGTTTTTAATTTTTGCCATTTTCAATTTTTCGTTTCCTCAATTTTTCAAGTTCTTGATTTTTATTTTTCATTTTCCCGATTTTTTTAATTTTCATTTTCTCGGTTTTATGTCACAAATTTTCATTTTTTCAATTCCTTTATTTCTTGTTGTTTCTTTCAATTTTTCAATTTTTCGTTTCTTCAATTTTTCGAATTTTCAGTTTCTCAATTTTTCGTTTCCACAATTTTTCATGTTCCCAATTTTTATTTTTCCATATGGCCAATGTTTAATTTTTATTTTCTCGATTTATATCACAATTGTCCGTTTTTTCATTTTCTTTATTTTCTGAGTTTTTTTTTTCGATTTTACAATTTTTCAAATTTTCAGGTTTTGAATATTCAGTTCGTTCATTTTTCAATTTTTAAATTTTTCACTTTGCAGTTTTTGGATTTCCAGTCTTCCCATTTTCCAATTTCTTTAATTTTCAATGTTTCTATTTCATAATACATATTTCTTTATTTTTGTTTTTCACTTTTTCGATTCTTAAGATATTTCAAGTTTTCATTTTGTAATTTTTCGTTTTTTATTTTTGATTTTTCAATTTTACAATTTCTCGACTTCCAAAATTTTCAAGTTTTCGTTCCTTCAGCTTTTCGGTTTGCAGAAGTTATTTAATTTGGCAATTTTTCAACATTACAGTTTTTCATTTTTCGATTTTTCAGTTTCTCAATTTTTAATTTTTCCCTTTTCCAATTTTTTTGTTTCCGATTTTTATTTTTCATTTTCTGGATTTTTTAATTTTCACTTTTTCGATTTTATGTCACAATTTTTCGTTTTTTCGTTTCCTTTATTTTTTGTTGATTCTTTCGATTTTACAATTTTTCGTTTATTCAATTTTTCAGTTTTTTCGAATTTCTAGTTTTTCAATTTTTAATCTTTCGATTTTTCAAATTTTCGTTTCATCAAATTTCCATGTTTCATTTTCACTTTTGACATTTTTCAAGTTTTCATTATATACTTTTTCGTTTTTTATTTTTGATTCTTCAATTTTACAGTTTCTTGACTTCTATATTTTTCAATTTTTCGAGTTGCAATTTTTTAATTTTGCAATTTTTCGATATTACAGTTTCTCATTTTTCGATTTTTCACATTCTCAGTTTTTAATTTTTGTCATTTTTCAATTTTTCGTTTCCTCAATTTTTCAAGTTCTCGATTTTTATTTTTCTTTTTCCCGATTTCTTAAATTTTCATTTTCTTGGTTTTGTCACAAATTTTCATTTTTTTTATTCCTTTATTTCTTGTTGTTTCTTCGATTTTTCTATTTTTCGTTTATTCAATTTTTTGAATTTTCAGTTTCTCAATTTTTCGTTTCCAAAGTTTTTCATGTTCCCGATTTTTATTTTTCAATGTGGCGAATTTTTAATTTTTATTTTCTCGATTTATATCACAATTGTCCGTTTTTTTCACTTCCTTTATTTTCTGTTTTTTTTTCGATTTTACAATTTTTCGTTTGTTCAATTTTTCAAATTTTCAGGCTTTGAATTTTCAGTTCGTCCATTTTTCAATTTTTAAATTTTTCTTGCAGTTTTTGGATTTCCAGTCTTCCGATTTTCCAATTTCTTTAATTTTCAATATTTCTATTTCATAATACATATTCTTTTTTATTTTTCACTTTTTCGATTCTTGAGATTTTTCAAGTTTTCATTTTGTAATTTTTCGTTTTTTATTTTTGATTTTTTAATCTTACAATTTCTCGACTTCCAAAATTTTCAATTTTTCGGTTTGCATCAGTTTTTCAATTAGGCAATTTTTCAATATTTGCATTCAAGTTTTTCATTTTTCGATTTTTCAGTTTATCAATTTTTAATTTTTCTCTTTTCCAATTTTTTTGTTTAAGATTTTAATTTTTCATTTTCCCGATTTTTTAATTTTCACTTTTTCGATGTTATATCACAATTTTTTGTTTTTTCATTTCCTTTATTTTTTCGATTTTACAATTTTTCGTTTGTTCAATTTTTCAAAGTTTCAGACCAATCGATTCCAATTCGTCATTTTTCCAGTTTTTTAATTTTTCAGTTTGCAGTTTTTGGGTTTCCACGCCTTTTTTACTTTTTGGATTTTCAATTTTTCGTTAAACTTTGGATTTTTCAAATTTTCGACAGTTTTATGCTTCGACTTCTCATTTTTTTCACCTTTTCGATGTTTTAATTTCTCTTTTTTGGCTGTATTTCTCGATGTTTAGATTTTTGGATTTCTCAGTTTTTCGATGCTTCGATTTTTCAGTTATACGATTTTTCAATTTTTTTAAATTCTGGACTTTCGATTTGTCGATTTTTAAGTTTTAGGTTTTCGAATTTTTCTTTTTTGATTCTTTGATGTTTGAATTTCTCCATTTTTCAATTTTGCGATATTTCAATTGTTCAATGTTTTAAATTTTAGATTTTTTGATTTCTGGATTTTTTGATTCTCTAGTTTTTCAGTATTTCTATTTTCCTATTTTTTAAGTTTTGAGGTTGCTAAATTTTTAGTTTTCCGATTTTTCAATTAATATATTTTTTTTATTTTCCCGTTTCTCGAATTTGCAGTTTCGATTTTCCAGTTCTTCAATTCTTCGATTTTTGGATTTTTCGGTTGGCTAATTTTTTAATTTCTCAATTTTGCATATTTGTTTCAGTTTTGGGATTTTTCAATATTTCTATTTTTCGACTTTTCATTTTTTAATTTTTTGAATTTTCATTTTTTCGTTTCTTAAACTTTCGATTTTTCAATTTTCGACTGTT